CGCCCCCCGCCTGCCGGGCGCGCAGGGGCTGCAGCCTGGTCCCCAGCCCGGCCTCCGCCGAGGCGGCCCGCAACCCCTCCCCCGTCGTGCCCACACTAAGAGGACCTCAGTGCCGCAAGCACCACGGGGCTCGGACGCTCTGTTCGGCGCGCGGCAGGCGTCCCAGAGCCGCTGGCGCGCCCCGAGCCCCTACTAGGGGCTGCGCCTGAGGAAAGGCCTGCCGCCAGGGGTGGCCAGGGAAGACCTTCTCCCTCTCTCCTTCTCTCCTCCCTCAGGCTCCTTGGATATCCAAGGAGGCTCCCTGGAGGAGATGATGCGCTGGTGAAAGATAGCCGCGAGCTTTGTTTACATTGCTCGCTGGGAACAGGACCTGGGTGAAGCCTGAGTGTCAGGGGGCCTGGCCTGAAAATCCTACAGCGAAATTCTAGGCAGCCAAGCCCTTGTCCCGCGGACAGGGGGAGTTGCTGCCCGCTGTTAGAGGAGTCAGTGTTTGGAAAGGTCACTGAGAGGGTGTCCCCTAGACCAGTGTTAAGTGTCCAGGAGGCCTAAGACACCTATAGGAGAACCTCCAAATATTGTGTATTTCATGGACACCCTGATGGTGCCAGTAGCCCAGGGAGGCCCACCCACTGCCTCCTGCCCTCACTGCCTGGGCAATGAGGAAGTGGAGAGGTGCCATATCAAGTGAGGGGCGCTTTGTCCCCAGGTGACGTGAAGATGAAGAGCTGGAAACATTGTGTGTCTGCAGGAGCCGTAGCACAAACGACCACTGACTGCTTGAAACACGGCCAGTGCCGCGAGCAAGGAACTGAATTTTTCATCGTCGTTCGTTGTAGTTTAAACGTGAGTGGCCGTGGCGGCCAGTGGCTACCATGTTAGCCAGCAGCCCGATGGTATTCATCTGTACTCTATTAGTTTCGTAGTTTTCTTGGTGGTTAATTTTAAAATTTGTTTTGGCTTCACGGTTTTACGAGAGCCATAAGCACACGTTGATACCCAGTGTTATGTTTGTGCGTGTGGAAGTGACACTAGAATAAAAATAACTTAAGTCTTCACTTGGGCATCTGCCAGGATGTGTTTTGTTGCAAAGGAGGCAGAGCAAGCCTCCGGTGTGAGGAACCCATGTCTACATGTCCTGGGCACCCTGCTCTCCCATCAGCTCCCTGCTTCCCACAGTGATGAGGACATTCCTGCCAAAAGTGTGAACTGTATCCTCAGAGAAAGGCCTTCCCTGGGCCCTCTGGGGAGGGGGCAGAGGAGGACATTGAGCCCACCCTCAGGGAGCAGGGGCGGGGGCAGACCCATGCACGCTGCGTCCTTGCTCCACCATCCCCAAAGCAGGTCATGCCCCGCCGGCTTGTCTTCCTCCTCTTCAGGCGGGCGTCAGATATTTAGTTGTGGCAGCTGTGTGCCAGGCACCATTGCACGCGCTGGCTGTGGGGAGCTGGGCAGCCAAGACCCCTTCCCTCGAAGACAGATGTCACCCCACAATGCTCATGTCAATACTGGGAAGGGAGGGAATTCCCAGGATGCTTGAAAGAGAGTCACAGAATGGGGGGCACTATTCCAGTGTGGGGGCTTGCAGGAGTGAACAATGGATCCAGGCTGTGAAGATTGAGAAGGAGGCAGCCCTGTAGGGCCTGGAGAAGAGCATTCAGGGCAGAGAGGGACAAGGTTGGAGGGACAGAAAGGAAGCCAGTGGGATGGGAGCATAGGGATGGAGAAGAGGCTAGATGCTGAGGTTGGGGGCAGGTGGTGAGGTCAGGGGACAGGTGAAGACCAGAGTGAGGCTGCATTTGATTCTGACTGCAGTGGGAGCAGCTGGAGGGTTTCTGCAAGAGACCCTCAGGCCTGGCTTCAGATTGAATGGGAATGCCTCCACTCTCCAGTGGAACCGGCTCCCACGGGCACCTGGGGGCTCACTGGGAAATGGGCTGCAACGGTGTACAGGGCTGCCTCCAGGTGCCTGGCACATGGGGGCCCTCCCAGGGGACCACTTCTGAAGTGCCCTGTCCAGTGGCCCATTAACTTGACCTTGTGAGGACCACAGGGGACCCACTGGCAGTGTATTAGGGCTCTCCAGAGAAACAGAACCAGGAAGAGATAAAGGAGATTTATTATGAGGCATTAGCTCATGTGATTATGGAGCCTGCGGAGTCCCACGATCTGCTGTCTGCAAGCTGGAGACCCAGGAGAGCTGGTGGTGTGATTCAGTCCCAGTCTGAAGGTCTGAGACCCAGGAGAGCAGATGGTGTAAATCGAAGTCCGAGGGCCAGAAAAGACGAGCTAAGATGTCCCAGCGCAAGGGGTGAGGCAGGAAAAAGAGTGAATTCCTCCTTCCTCTGCCTTTGTTCCATTTGGGCCCTCAGGGGACTGGACGAGGCCCACCCACACTGGGGAGGGCCGTCTGCTTTCCTGAGTCCACCAGTTCAAATGCTCATCTCACCTGGAAACACCCTCCCAGACACCCCCAGGTATAATGTTTATCTGGACACCCCGTGGCCAGTCACGTTGAGACGCAACACTAAATGTCACAGGCAGCAATGAAAGGACATGTGCCAGTGTGATCCAGGGGCAGGTGGGCACTGGGGTTGTGTCCTGGGAAAGGCTCCTGTTGTCAGCCAGTCAGACGGTGGATCTTCCGTCCCTGCCCCAGGATGCGTGGATGAGCACCCAGATGGGCTGCACAGAGAATGAGGGAGAGAGGGGCGAGGGCGTGCCTGAGATGGGAGACCCCTCCCTGCACTTCAACCTGAGGGCGGGTGGGGCTGATGGTGTGAGGGGCAGGTAGCAAGCAGCAGGGCGGGAAGAGCAGGCCTTTGCTGCCCAGCCGGCTTTGGCTCGGAGTCTGCCCCTCCGTGTGACTTTGGTCTGGTTCCTCAGTTTCCCCATCTGTGGTAGAGCCACTCCTCGTGTTCTTGGGTGGGTGGAATTCGAGGATATTCGCAAGCCCATGGAGCAGGGCCTGGCCCTGGGAGGCAGGAGGTCACCGCCTCCTTTAAGCTTGTGTGACCAAGAGGCTTGTCCGCCAGGCACAGCTCCAGGGCTGGTGACTCACCGCTCTCATGGGGGCACACACTCTGTCCTGTCTTGATTCCTGCCCCTCTGCCTTGATTTCCTGTGGAAATAAACGAGGACCACCCAGATGAAACTGACAGGGGCTATTTATGCAGAGCTGGCTATATCACGGGAGTCAGCCACCCTCACTGCATTTGGCAGAGACTCGAAGGCAGAGCTGGACGGGCACAGCTATATAGTAATAAAAAGAAAAAAAAGGAAGAGTTTAATATCCAAAAAACAACCAATGTAATACACCGTATTAATAGAATAAAGGACAGAAATCATGTGATCATCTCAGTAGATGCAGGAAAAGCATTTAACAAAACCCAACACTCTTTCATGATGGAAACACTCAGAATAGAGTGGAACTTCCTCACCTGATAAGGAGCATTACAAACCCCCCAGCTAACATCATACCTAATGGTGAAGGACTTGAGCCTTCCCTGAAGACTAGGGACAAGACAAGGATGTCCGCTCTCCCTACCTGTATTCAGCATTGTCCTGGAGGTTCTGGCCAGGGCAGTTAGGCAAGAAGAAGAAATAAAAAGCATCCAGATTGGACAGGAAGGCGTAAACTATCTCTATTTGCAGATGACATAATATTGTGTATAGAAAATTCTAAGAAATCAATCTGCAAAAAAAACTATGAAAACCAACAAATGTGTACAGCAATTGGTAGGATACAAGATCAATATACAAAAATCAGTTTTATTTCTATACACTACCAATGAACAATCCAAAAATGGAATTAAGAAGACAATCCCATTTTTTTTTTTATTTTGGTGAGGAAGATCAGCCCTGAGCTAACATCCATGCCAATCCTCCTCTTTTTGCTGAGGAAGACTGGCCCTGGGCTAACATCCATGCCTATCTTCCTCCACTTTGTGTGGGACGCCGCCACAGCATGGCTTGACAAGAGGTGCATCGGTGTGCGCCTAGGATCCGAACCTGGGCCGCCAGCAGCGGAGTGCACGCACTTAACCACTACGCCACGGGCCGGCCCCGACAATCCCATTTGTCATAGTGGCAAACAGAACAAAATAGCTTGGAATAAATTTAGCAGGAGAAGCATAAGACTTGCACTCTGAAAACTACCGAACTGTCAAAAGTCATTAAAGAAGACCTAATAAATGGAAAGATATCCGATGTTCATGGATCGGAAGGCTTAATATTGTTCTGATGCCAACAGGCCCCAAATTGACCTACAGCTTCAAAGCAACCCCTATCAAAATCCCAGCTGGCTTCTTACAAGCTCATCCTAAAATCCATGTGGAAATGCAAGAGATCTCGAAAAGCCAAAACAGTCTTGAAAACGAAGAACAAAGTTGTTGGACTCACACTTCCCGTTTCAAATTTACTGCAAAGCTACAGTGATCGAGACAGTCTGGTACTGACATAAGAACAGACATACAGATCAGTGGAATAGAATTGAGACTCCAGAAATAAACCCTCACATTCATGGTCAGTTGGTTTCTACAAGGGCGCCAAGAGCATTCAACGCCGGAAAGAACAGTCTTTTCAACAAATGGTGCCAGGACAAATGGGTATCCATGTGCAAAAGGATGCCGTTGGGCCTCATGCTACCTCATGCTATACACAAAAATTAACTCAAAATTAACTCACAATGGATCAGAGACCTAAAGTAAGAGCTG